TGAACACCGACATCCCATTAATTAGCATTTGCCTATGATCACTCGTCTTACTCGACGGGCCGTTAATCCCACACACGTTGTGCGATAACGGTGCTTCGAAGAAGCACGTTCGCTTGGATTTATTGAATCGTATTTTTTCTCTTTTTCATTTTTACGTTAACAACGTTCAGTGAAGTAAGTAAGCTGTGCTCGATCAGCTTTCGATCCCGTCGAGGTGACGTACGCGATCTTCTCGCACGGCACAAACGGGTCAAGCGCGCCTGACAGTGTTAGGAGGGACCGAAGGTTGTTCCACCTTCGGGTAAATTATCTGACAGATAAATATCTGAAGAACAACCCGTTCCCGTACGGAAATAAACTACAAGAATATGAAAAAAATTACCGGCATATTGTTGTTCTTCAATAGTGTTCTTTAATAGTAACTACCAGTAACTTTTTTTCGTATTTCTGTAGTTTATTTCCGCATGGGAACGTTCTTTAAATACTTATAGATAAATTTACCCGAGGGTGGAACAACTGACTCCTAGATAGCCAAATCTGCAGAGACAGATTTTGCGCGGTATCTGCTGTAAATTTTATCGACTTATTGGTAGAGATACAACAGGATCTGCTGACAGAATACGACGACAGATTGACAGCAGAAAGCCAGCAGAGCTTGTCGTTCCGTTACCATTTAAATGTGTTTGAGGAAGAATTTATCAGCTCCGGCGCAAAGCACGGGGATTTTTTAGTACTCTTAGATATTAATATTTTCAATATTAACATGTATTTTTGGGAGGATATAATGTTTGAAAGTGTATTGCAATATTTCCGGATTATCCTCCGGTCTACGTACGCAAAGAATCTTGAAATATCAAGCCTATCCGTTTCATTCCCAGTTACTTGTAATTATCCAATTAACCCAACCTAGGAAATTAATTTTTTTTTTCTTTAATCCTGATCGTGCACACATTCTTTTAGCACCTTAATCTGACACACTGCGGTCATTTACGTCCTCGTTTATTTCAAGTTTGTAAAAATGCTAATAAAAATCTGCAAAATATCGTGAATATACTTTGAAGCCTGTAGAATAAGATTATATAAAGGAATGATCACGAACGTTCGCCTAAATATTTTATTTTATTGAAGATGTAAAGAGAAACACGACGAAAACATGAGTCGGCTGGGGTCCATAATGACCTCAGTGTGTACGATTAAGATTAATTATACTAAGCATTGCAAAACATGCTGCCTCAACTAAGAATCAAACCTAGACTCCCGCTAACTAGGCGGGACACCAATTCAGCCACCGTCGCAACTTCATCGCAACATTCAGTGCTTATAAACTAGTAAGACGTAACGTAAAATATATTTAAATGGAATACACTGCAAATCCTGCTCAGTTTCTGCTGTCGACTTACTGTCAACCCATTGAACATTAACTAACAGTAACATAAGACCAATGTTATAATCGTTGACGTAACACATAATTACACAACACAGGCGTTATATCGCATTTACATTGTTGAGTAGGAAATTCACACATTGACATTATATTACCGTTAGTTAGTGTTTACCGGGAAGTTATGATCAGCAGGCTCTATCAAGACGGAACACGAACTTAGTGCAGATAAAATGGTTAAGAATCTCTTATGTGTTCTGGTCGAATCTGCTGCCAATCTGCCGGCATACCGCTAACATTTCTCTAAGGTTGCGTTCGAAGAGCAGAGCGTAGCATTCAATTAACCAATCATGATAACGAAATCTTTGCTCTTTGTGCCCCCTGACTGGTCAATTAAATGCTATCCGTCGAGAATAGGTTTTTCAAACGCAGCCTTATTGGGGACTTCTCAGAAACTCTGCACTCACGATACGGCGGATATTGCTTTCAGGGATCTCCGATTCAACCACATCACGGAAGTGCGCCCGGGAACGTTCTACGGGCTCGGCCAGCTAGACACCCTGTTGCTGAATGACAACCGTATCCGACAGCTACCGGCGGCCGCCTTCGACGGCGCCCCGAATCTGCGTGTGCTCTACTTGTACAAAAATCGCATCGTCCGCATAGCGCCGGGCGCTTTCGCCGGGTTGCCGCGGCTCGAGCAGCTCTATCTGCATCACAATCATCTGCGGGAGATTCAACCAGGCACGTTCAACGATTTGCCGGCGTTGGAGCGGCTCTTCCTTCACAATAACCGGCTGCACCAGCTGCCGGCCGACGCGTTCCTCAACGTCGGCCCGATGACACGGCTGCGTCTCGACAGCAACGCGCTCGTCTGCGACTGCAACATGGCCTGGCTGGTCGAACGGATGCGGGACAAGCACTCGGAGATGGCGGCGATCTGCCAAGCCCCTCAAGATATGAAGGGCCGTTCACTGACGACGATGTCGATCGAGGACTTTCATTGCAGTTGAGTGAGATAAACCAGACCGCTACTGGTAGAAATTATGCAGCTTTCCAATGCATATTTTCATTAATTGTAATAATGACGTCTTATTGACGGAAAGGGGCGTTTATTATAATAGTCCTTTCTGGAAATTGAGGTTCCTGTGTCCTCGCCGCGGCCGTAAAATTAACGTGGTAAAAAAAAAAAGGGAGAAAAAAAAGCACATGGAGAAAATCTGGTTGCATTGATCAGAAAGGGAACAATAAGATGCGTCCTGGTTGGAGGAAACAGAATTTCTGGTTCTTATGATCCAAATATGATTCTTGTAACTAGAAATTCTGTTTCCTTCAATCAAAATGCATTTCGTTGTCCCTTCTCTGATTAATACAGCCGAACTTTTTCTCCGTGCAGAATTCTTGCAGTATACGTCCGAATAAACAGATATACACACAAAATGATCAATTACACATATATGATCAATTCAGCACATTTGTAAAATATTCGGAAAACTTTTCTCTTTTACACTAACGATCGATAAATAACTATAAAATTATCACGACATGCAATCTTTCACGGCATAGCGTTTCCTCACTTCTGACGTCATTAAGCAAGGACAGTCATAGCGATCATTCCAGAGCCGTAAGAATAACCACGATGCTAAAAAGTATTTACCGCGTGATTCACTGGCAAGAAGCGAGAAACTGCGAGAGTCCGAGCTTAGAACGGAGTTAGAATTTACGAGTAACCTCTATCTCCGCGCGTGATCCTTATACGTTCGCAGTTTAAGCGGTGTGTGATGAATTCTTTCGGTGAGTCGGATCCTCGGAACGCCTCGTGTCATATTGATCACATCGCTGGCGCAAGGACGGCTTAACGCCGATCACGTCGTCACGGTCGTTGACATCACGGTCGCCGCTTCATCTCGCGTGACGACGCCTGTCGCTAGGATGATCCGCATATCCATCGCGTGATCCTTTACCGGAAGGTTAAATCGAGACTCCCATTCAATTGACTGCCGCCGACTAATCCCAGAGCGAGATCTCTTTCTCTCGTCAAGTCGGCGGAGTGACAGCTCGATGCCGAAAGTATGCTATCATCCACTTTGCGAGGATTTGCCGGGGTCTTTCGCATGAAGAAAAGAACGATCGTGGCAAATAACCCTTACTATGTGCGAACTGGAAGACCGATCTTCAATCTCTCGAGCGCTTTCTCGTCGTCTTCTTTGTGATCACCTATGAAGAAGAACGGCGTAGACACGTCTATCGTGCGCAAAGGATGTTGCTTAAAAACCTTACTTATTGTAATTTTGTCGTTGTAATTAAAAGAAAAAGATAACTGTAGCGATAAATTTACCGGCCGTCGTGTGACAAAATATTTTACGATCAATTTCGTAAGTAAGCGAGAAGGCGGAAAACTGACCTTGATATTCCTCTCGGTCCGGCAGCGAAGCCGCGCATCATGCAGGGGCCGACGGACGCGAGAGTGCGAGTTGGCGACACGATTGCGTTCACCTGCCGGGTGACGGGCGAGCCGAGGCCGAAGATCAAGTGGATGCGGGACTCGAACGAGGTGGGCGAGGACGGCGAGCGATACGTGATCCGCGGAGACGGCACTCTGGTGATCACCGACGTGACCGAGCAGGACGTAGGCGAGTACGAGTGCGTGGCCAGCAGCGGCATGGGCTCGACCAAGTCGAGGAAGGCTCGGGCGGTCATCATGGTATCGTCGTCCCTGAGATTCACCGAGCTGCCGGAATCGCGCACCGTGACCGCCGGCACCGACGTCACCTTCACCTGCAGAGTCGACGGCAACCCGTTGCCGAGCGTCCGCTGGTGGCGAAACGGCCAGCCGATCGCCCTCGGCGAGCGGTTCTCGCTCGAGCAGGCCGGCAGCGTGCTGCGCATCTACGCGGCCAAAGAAACGGACACGGCGAGATACGTGTGCCGCGCGCAAAACTCCAACGGCTTCGCGGAGACCAGTGCGGACCTGCAGGTCCTCGCCGAGGACTCGAGCGCGCCCCGGCTGACGTACGAGCCGCGGGACATAGACGCGGAACCGGGCGCCGTGGTGGAGGTGCCCTGCCGGGCCGAGGGCAAGCCGAAACCGGTGATGCAGTGGAAGAAGGACGGTAGCGCGCTCGAGGCCGGCAGAATCAAGATCTCGCGCGGCGGGAGCCTCTATATTTACAACGTGAGCTCGACGGACACCGGCAGGTGAGGAGGTGACGATAATCGCGAGTCTTCCTCGGTCGGGCGACGAGCGAAAAGCGACGCGTTCTTTTTCCCCCTCCCCGCTTTTTCGTAAAATTCTCATCTCGCGATAACGAGAAATGTTTCCCGAGTTTTTTTGTTATATTTATGCTTCTTACGGATCGTGCGGAATTTTCAATAAACTTATTGTCGGAGAAATAGATTAATCACTGGAAGGACATACACGCCATAGGCGCAGCTATACGATTTTACAAGTCAGGAAGGGGAAAAATTTATTTCCACGCAAAATTTATTAGCATACTTATATTAAAGCCAGTCTTCGTGAATATTCGGTAAACTTTCTCAATATTATTCTTCTACCTCCCTCCATTTCACGAGCACCATTTTTCCGCGTCGGCATAATGAAAGTTGCAACACTTTTCTTTCAACGAGTTTCGCAATCCACTTCGCATCCGATAGGAGAATGTATTTCTTGAAAATTGAAGGCCGAGGAACATCTGGTGGTGAAATTGAGAAATTTTTATTACATTCATTTTCATAAAGCATCACTAATACTTTGTCATTAGTTTTTATGTGTTGTAGTTTTTTTGTAGAATATAGATTATAATGTATCGGTTACATTTCTTTATTTTTATAATTTAATTTTTCTTCTTGCCAAAATTTTGGGGTGGCCAGGTGGTCTACTATCTCCCTTGGCTACGCGTATATATACACCTGTCGACAATGATTCGTTTCTACTTAAATCTATGAATGAAGCAAGTCTAAAAGATGCTTACCCTGTTCTAACCTAATATAATCAGAAAAATGTTCATGTAAAAAAGCAAATTAGATTATTGAAAATTGGTGTCTGATTAATCGAGATAACACGAGCCAAGATCAAAATTACATGCTTCATGAAATTCTGATTTATAATTCGCAATTCTAATCTCCAATACTAGGCTGATAACAGCTTTGTGTAATAATTTCTTTAGATAGAACAGGATAAACATGTTTTGGACTTGTTTTAATAGATCTAAGGAGGAACGAATCTATCATCTACCAGTGTGTTTATCGTTGGAAGCGTAAATTGCAGTGCGCATAATTCAAAAGCCTGAAATCTCCGATAGAAATATTACGCTGGAAATTTTACTGAAATCCTCTCTCAATTGACCCCATTTCATTCCGTCAATGTACGCAGTTTTCCGTTAAATTCGGTAAATTTTAGCAGTATACTTTAATTTTCCTTATATTCGAGTATTGATATATACTATGAACTTGGTGAAAGTTATTGAAAAATTACTGAAATATGTAATAATAAATGTTTCCAAATAAATCATAGTTTTCATCATAAAATTCAATGTGACGTTGCGAAATATGATGCAAATTAAAGTATAATTTGAAAAAAAAATTGTTGAAATATTAGATATCGTGAAATTCACTGGATTAAACTGAAAACTGCGTATATTAATGAAATGGGGTCAATTGAGAGAGTATTTCGGCGAAATATTCCCGTCAGAGATGCAACGTCACTTTACGGTATGAATATAAGTTGATTTCGACGGGAGTTCCCTCTTATCGTAATTCTGGTTCACCTTGTTCTTCTTTTCACAGGTACGAGTGTTCGGCCGTGAACAGTCACGGCCGCGCAACGGGCCATGCTCTGGTGCGCGTACGGCAACCCGGCGCGACGGACGCGCTCGTCATACGCGCATTCCAGGACGCCACCGAGGAGATCGACCGTGCCATCAACAAAACGCTGTCGGCCCTCTTCAGCAAAGACCGTTCGGGTAACGCACGGGTCGACCCGTTTCGCGCGGGACGATTTCCGAACGCGATCAGCCGCGCTGCCGCCAGGCCCGCGGAGATCTTCGAAAGGACCCTCGTCAATATCCGACGTTTGGTGAACGCCGGCGCTGTGGCGAACGTGACCGGCGAATTTAACTATGAAGAGATATTGTCGTCCGAGCAGGTGAGGCCACGATGACAAACTGACCGACCTCGCCCAGTCGGATATTCTTTGAATACGCGTGGAATATTGTAGGCGGAAATTCGTATATTCATAATAGAAAAGTACTCACACGATATATATTTATAAAGACGTCTTAAAAACGTTTTTCAGACGTCTTGTTGTCTTATGACATCTTAATGCTCTCTGGGAAAGTTCTTAGAATATTTGCAAGTTCATTTACTGCGCATGTGTAATGCATTGATTTAAATGAAAAGTAAATCTTGTATGTATATATATATATATGAGTTTCACAATGTTTTCAGTATCCAATAGAAGAATTCATTTTTTAGTGATTCTTAAGAAATAAATACGTTCGTAGAATAAGTTTGATCTTTATACAAGATTATATACATTCTTGCTTATAAATAAGAATATAATTCTTGAATTTATATCACTTTTTATCTATTCATATAACATTGTTTTTAGCACATTCTGTGAATGTACAAATATTCATAAGGAATTATCGATTCATCGAACATTCCTGTGCTACCTGGTTCGGCGCCTCTCTTCGGCAAACTAAAACCGTCGCGTTTCAGGTGAAGGATATCGAGAGGATGTCCGGATGCAGCGCCCACCGACGCCTGCAGAACTGCAGCAACATGTGCTTTCACAACAAATACCGGACGATAGACGGTAGCTGCAACAACCTGCGCCACCCCACTTGGGGCTCGTCGCACACGGGATTCCGGAGGGTGTTGCAGCCCGTTTACGAGAACGGCTTCTCGACGCCAATCGGTTGGGAGAAGAGCCGGCGATACTTCGGTTACCCGAAGCCGGCGGCGCGCCTCGTATCGACCACGCTGATCTCCACCCACGAGATCACGTCGGACAACCGGATCACCCACATGGTGATGCAGTGGGGCCAGTTCCTGGACCACGATCTGGACCACGCGTTGCCGTCGGTGTCGAGCGAATCTTGGGACGGGATCGACTGCAAGAAGTCCTGCGACAACGCCGCGCCGTGCTTCCCGATGGAGGTGCCGGCGGGTGATCCTCGCATCAGCAACAGGCGATGCATCGACTTCGTGAGAACGAGCGCCGTGTGCGGCTCCGGCGCGACGAGTATCCTCTGGGGCGGGCTGACACCCCGCGAGCAGCTGAACCAACTGACCAGCTACCTAGACGCGTCGCAGGTCTACGGCTACGACGACGAACTGGCGCGCGACTTGCGCGACTTGAGCACCGATCGCGGGCTGCTTCGGGAAGGCGCCACGATCCCCGGGCACAAGCCCCTGCTGCCCTACATGTCCGGCCAGTTCGTGGACTGTCGCAGGAACCCGCTGGAGAGCTCGATCAACTGCTTCGTGGCCGGCGACATCCGCGCGAACGAGCAGGTCGGCCTGTTGGCCATGCACACTATATGGCTGCGCGAGCACAATCGGATCGCTCGCGCGCTGCGCGACATGAATCCCCACTGGAACGGCGAGAAGCTCTATCAGGAGGCGAGACGAGTGGTGGGCGCCGAGATGCAGCACATCACTTACCGACACTGGCTGCCGCGGATATTCGAGGTGGACGAATCGCTGCCGCCTTACCGTGGCTACAATCCCAACCTCGACGCCAGCATATCCAACATCTTCGCCACCGCCGCCTTGCGCTTTGGCCATTCGCTTATCCAGCCGCGTCTCGAACGGCTGAACGCTTCCTTCCAGCCGATCCCTCAGGGCGGCCTGAATTTGCGAGACGCCTTCTTCGCCCCGTGGCGCCTCGTCGAGGAAGGAGGTGTCGACCCGTTGATCAGGGGCATGTTCGCTACCGCCGCTAAGCTCAAGCTGCCCGAGCAGAATCTCAACGTGGAGCTCACCGAGCAACTGTTCCGCACCGCCCACGCGGTCGCCCTCGACCTGGCAGCTATGAACATCCAACGGGCGAGGGAGCACGGTATACCCGGCTACCTGGAGTGGCGGCGTTACTGCAACATGTCGCACGTGGAGACCTTCGAAGACCTCTCCGGTGAGATCGGCAACGGCAAGGTGCGGCAGAAGCTGCGCGAACTCTACGGCCATCCGGGCAACGTAGACGTCTGGGTCGGCGGAATTCTGGAAGATCAGCTTCCGGGTGCAAAAGTGGGACCGCTGTTCCGATGCCTGCTACTGGAGCAGTTCCAGCGCACCCGGGACGGCGACCGGTTCTGGTACGAGAACCCCAGCGTGTTCCGTGCGGAGCAGCTCGCGCAAATCCAGCAGGCCTCGCTCGCTCGGATCCTCTGCGACAACGGCGACGACATCGCTCGCGTGCAACCTGACGTGTTCCTGCTGCCGACCGATGGCAATGCCTACGTCGGCTGCGACGAGATTCCACGTGTGGACTTGAGCATGTGGGCGGACTGCTGCGACAACTGCCAGGACAGCGGCACCGCCGTCCTCCGAGTGCGCAGAGCGGCCGAGAAGTATCTCGCTCCCGCAAACGACGCGAGGAAGACGATGGAACGCGACGAGAAGATGGAGTACTTGCGCGGGATGTTCGAGGAAAATAATCGGGAAACTAAGAGGCTGAGGGGGCAAGTCGAGGATTTGACGCGCACGGTGAACGAATTGAGGTCGTTATTGCTGGAAGACGTTAGAACGCAACAGTAGAGGAGCGAATCGTGCGTGTCACGTTTGAATTGTCGCGTAGGTAGTCCCTCGCACGCTTCTCCTCGTCCTCCCTGCAATGTCTTACGTTTCTTTTCGTGCATTTATTATTAACTGTAAATAGACATTCCCGCGGGAATAATGTGAAGTGGCTGAACGTTTCATTTTCTTTAGTAGCAGCACGGTTATTATTGCCGGGTTGCGATACCGCGACTCGACACGCGGAATCATGCGGCGAAGCTTACGTTAAGTTTTAATTATTAATTTTTTCACGGCGACTCCGTAATGTGAAAATACACATGGAAATACATGAATATTCTATACCATTCTTTTTATTACTATATATAATTGGCATATTTAATTTACGTCAGTATGTGAAACAATGTTGTTAACTCATCCTTGAAAATATATGGTTCGCTGACCGCGCGCAACGACGTCTTTATCCTCATTCTTCGTGAGTTCCACCATGATGAAAGCTAATTTCTTATTGACATGTATAGTCGAAGCGTCGACAGTCACCACTTCACCGGGAAATGCAGCCTTCAAAAACCTGTGCCATTAATCGTTTTACATTATAAGCATTTATACACATATTTTTTATTAATAAAGATGATTAAGTTACGATATTGTGTCATGTCCAATTTCTAGTCTCTGACCAATATATCATAATCACACGATGTATATGTACTTATTCGTAGGAAACAGAAATATTCCATTTGTCAAGGAAGGTTATGTGAAAAAAATAATATCAATGTATGAAGCAGCATAGATATTCTAACTGTACATAACTGATCCCAGTATAACGGAATAAAAGAAGCTAATAAAGAAAATCAAGTGAGATCCTTACGTCATATGCAAGTTTACTGCAGTTCCAATAGAACCAGTACCTACAGTTGTCGCTATACATGCAGATATACAGTTTACGACTGTACCAGTAAAACCACCATGTAAACTACCATGTAAACTATAATATTTATATTTTCTTGAGTTACCGTAAACTGTGCCTTGCATTTTCTATCGCCGATTGAGAGTTATTGCACCTGTTTAAAAAGTTATTATTTATATGTGAATGTACAACACAATATATTTACAATCAAATATAGTATATATTATTTTTGTGAAATATATACTATATGTTATTGTTGTAAAAAATTAGAAGCCTTTTTAAAGAAATATATAATGCAACTGTAGGATATCCTGCTGAATCCCTCTTTTCAACATAAGTTCTTTGCCATTTTAAACGTAATTTTTCACCAACAAAATTATCGGGGAATTAGAAATGAAAAAAAATTCAAAATAGAAGTGCGTGAAATAATATTTTTATCATTATAAACTTTAAGTAAAATATGCCAGGCTAAATTTAACTGAGATAAAAATGTTAATTGCATATGTAAAACACCGATAATTGTGCAATAACAAAGAAACGAAGTCATTCTCGCTGTTACAACAGAACAAAAGGCATTAAAAAAACAGAATTATACTGCCATTGCCTCACATTCCAAGGTTGTCTTCAGCATAACGCAAACACTGGCTGCGTTCAGCAGGACTCAACAGTTTTGCAACCATTTTATAATTGCCGGATAGTCTTAAAGACATTCAGCGCCTCAACATGTTTATTCACAAGTCAGCACGTTTTCCAACAAACTAAAAATACGCTGAATGTAAGCAAAATATGTTGAATAAAATGACTACCTTCAATGCATCATCATTATATGTCCGAATTATATAGTCAATTTAGCACAATCTTTTTTTGTCTTTGTGCCGAAAGAACTGTAACACTGAAAAGTGAGATTTTGCAGCATTATTTACGCATGAGTTGTATATCTAATAAGTTCTTTCTGAACGCTATAATTTTTGCAACACTGCGATCTATTGGAGTTTTTGATTTGCTGACTCGAATCGACTGAGACAACGTGCAATAAACTTTGCAATACCGCAATTTATATCCAGTAAGTAAGAAACATCAGATCAATCTTTTGAAACATTGATTTTACGTGGATTTTATCAACATTCTGACATAATATTTTATTTATAAATATTCTTAAACTATTATTTAATAATATAATATTTCTAAACATTAAAATCATTGCATAAATATTATTTTTAATATTTTGGTCAAATATTGTTAACAATGACGTTGTATACAACATTAAGAACTACATATTTGAAAACGTTACATGTTATAAATTATCATTTTGTATTAACGTTGTGTTAATGATTTCTTACTTACTGAGTAGTTCACATTATGTACACTATAGATTGCAATATTGTAGCGAATATTGGAATGCTGCCCCAATCGCGACAGCAAATTGAAAACGCCAACTGGAGGAAGCACTGAGGCTCGATCTTGAACTTATTCGCAACGTTGATGTATATGTACGTGCATAGATGAAAAGTGAAAAAGCGGCTACGTTTCTTGAACATTAATATGTAATATTGGAAATGTGTACGCTTTTTTTTGCCGATTATCATTTACAACGACGAAAAATTATACCGAGACAGCATAGATCTCCTAGGGACGGCCTGAGGATATCGTGAGGACGTCCCGATGTCCTAAAGATATTCACGTTTACAGAATGTCCATCGAGATATTGTATGCTGTTTGGGTACGTACTTTCTACAAATATCAGTCAGAAACATTATATGACATACATTGATTTAAAAGGTGTTATATACAATCCAATGGGGCTCCAGCCCCCCATGTCGGGCCTAGGCCTACCTCTCTCTCACACATATACATGTGGTGCGCTCGCAAATTATACACATGCATATGGAACTTACAGTTTAAACGCCGGTTCCGAACGGCAAATTTTGGAGAGAGGTTTTCTTGGCATGAATACTCTTGGGGTTTGCTAGACGAAGAGGAGCTACGAGCGTATGAAAAATTGTCTAGCCCTGCCGAGAATCGAACCCGGGACTTCTAAGCATAAAATAGACTGGTGCGCTGTCTAGCCACGCTCGCGCTCTTAAAAGGTGTTGTACTTAATTATAATTTTATAGTAATCAATAGTATTATAATAAAACTCAAGTAAAAATATTTGTTTTTATTATTTAAATTTATGTACATTTATATAATTTCCCTATTAATACGCACGAAATCATTTTTGTTTCTATAAAAAATGTGTTATTGCGATTTGTAATATGTAGGTTAGAAATTTATAGGAAAATGTTATTTGTTATTTTCAACACAGTATTTCTTCCTTATACTTACAAATAAATATTTTCTCAAATTTGAGGTATATCATATTGTATGATTGCTGAAAGTATAAATTTAACGTTCCCAATTTTTGTGTCTCGTTTTTTCGGCAAAGTTAGCGCAGCGAATTTTACTATGATAATACGTATGAATCATATTTTTTTTTCTATAAATGTTCTGTATTGCAGGTGGATAGCTTTCATGCAAAAAAAGTGGTGCAAATATTACAAGTGACATGTGTTACTTATATTAAAAATGTGTTTATCATTATCCTCCTTTCTAAGTAAATAAAGACAGATATATTTATTTAGGTCTTGCTTAAAGTCAAAATAACGTTAGCTTAATCGGGCCTAGGTGGGGCTAAAAAAGATTTGAAATTAATAGATGTATGGATGGCGGTATCTCTGAACCCTTTGAGATACAAACGAAAGCGAAAGAAGTACAAGCAGATATAAATGATGCTCCTTCGAATGCCGCTGGCAGTTTTTCGATATCTCACAAATTAACCAATTTTGCTATAAACGGGGTATGTCAGAAGTGAAAAATGCTGTATTTCCGAACCTTTTGAGGTATAAACGAAAGAAGTACAAATAGATACAAACAATGCTCTTTCGAATGCCGTTAATATTTTTTTGGATCTTCATCTCATCTTCATCCAGATGAATCTGAAATCATGTGAGGCGAACACTGGAAGCGGATGAATGTTTCATTTTCCTTAGAAACAGCTCGGTTATTACCGGATTGCAAAACCGCTTACGAATCTACACGCGAAGTCTTACGTGTCGCAGCGCAACTTACGTAAGTTCTTATTATTCATTTTTTACAGCGACTATGTAGTGTGAAAATACACATTGAAATACATAAATATTCTATACCATACTTTTTATTACCCATACAATTGACATATTTAATTTATATCAATATATGAAACAAATTGTTAATTAATTTTTTTGAAATACATAACTTGCTGACCGCGCGCAATGACGTCTTTACCCTCGTTTTTCGTGAGTTCCACCTTAAGGAAAGCTAATTTTTTACCGGTTTGTATAGTCGAAGCGTCGACAGTCACCAATTCACCGGGAAATGCAGCCTTCAAAAACCTGTGCCATTAATCGTTTTATATTATAAACATTTATACACATATTTTTTATTAACATGCGCGCTACCACCGCCGCATATATGCAGCGTCTCTATTCTTGTATCTAAGCCCACCGCAAATGTGCGGTGCGTGTTCTTTATCAGTTTATGATAACGTATTGATCGTAATAAATTTGGAAATGAACAGTATTGTGGAGCTAAAAAACAATCAAATAGAATGTCCTTGGTCTAGAGATAATTATATTTTTATTTTATAAATATATCCTAAATAGACCCATGTCAATTGGAGACATATTCTAACAAAAAACACCCTGGGCTGTGGTGCGAGATTTTCTTCTCAGACCCTGGTAGCGAACATGAATGTTAATAAAGATAATTAAGTTACGATATTGTGTCATCTCCAACTTCTAGGCTCTGACCAATATATCATAATCACATGCTATATATATACTTATTTATAAGAAACAAAAATATTCCTTATGTCAACAAAAGTTATGTGAAGAAATAACATTAATGTATGAAATAGCATAAATTTTCTAACTGTATATAACTGAATCGAATATAATGGAATAAAAAAAGCTAATAAAGAAAATCAAGTGAGATACTTACGACATATGCAAGTTTATTGAAACTCCGTAAGAATCATAAGTGCCTGTAGTTGTTACTGCATATGCAGACACACAGTCTACGACTGTAGTAGCAAAACCACCATGTAAAGTACCCATAAAATTCATAATCTCCTGAGTTACCGTAAACTGTGCCTTGCATTTTCCATCGCCGATAGAGAGCAATTGCACCTGTTTAAAGTTATTATTTATGTGTAAGTATACAACACAATATCTTTATAATCAAATATAATATATATTATTCTTGTGAAATATATGCTATACGTTATTGTTGTAAAAAGTTAAAAGTTTTTCTAAAGGAATATATAATGCAATCGTAAGATATTCTGCTAAATCTGCCTTCTTAATACAACTTCTTTACCTATTCTAAACATAATTTTTCATAAACAAAATTATCGAGGGTTAGAAATGGGAATAAATGTTAATAATAGCACAAAAAAATATATTTATTCACTATAAATTTTCATTAAATTTATTTTTAACAGTATTAAAATAGATAAAAACAAGAACTAAACACAATAAAATTATATAAGCAAACTAACGATAATCTTGAAAATATTAACCAAACAATCAAAAAGAATATAAATATATAAAAAGAAGAGTACAATCAATATAAATATAAAAATAGCTTACATATATCCCAATGCATGACAAATAACTTACAATAGCAGGAACTTAAATTATATCATCAAACGGTGAAAATATCCAGTGACAAAATGTTCAAAAACATAAGATAATTTTTAGAATTCTTAAAGATAATTTAAAGATATTTCATGCGTCGGTTTTGGACACTTACTGTGAATCTACTTGTGGATTGAAATTCAATTTATTTTAAAGAAAAAGAAACGATTAAACTCGCTGTTCCCAGAGTTAGGTGGTTTAGCCTGCTTGGGGTAGGGGTGGTTTCTTGACCTTCATTTGACCTATGGAGGTCACGTTAACCTTATACTTTGATACATATCTGGATGTAAAATTTCCCGCTCTTTCTGAATCCGACATTAAAAATAGGGGGTTCCATTTAAAAAAGTGACCTTGACCTTGAAATGACTTTGAAAACTGACCTCAAGATCAAGATTATTAGCACAAGTAGATGACCCTCACTGTCCTCGACAACTTTTATCCGAACATTTTTTTCGTAGGTTGCGTAGTTTCGGAGATATCTCCGTTTGTCGATTAAAATGGGTTACCGTGTATATGATTTTTTTCCCGGGACTACCCAGTAAGCAAAAAATCATTAACACAACATTATTACAATGGTATTTTATAAGACTAAACATCTTCAAATATGTAGTTCTTAATGTTGTATAGAACGTTATCGTTAACAATATTTGACCGAAACATTGAAAATAATATTTATATAATATAATTTTAATATTTAGGAATTTTATATTATCAACATTATATTATAACAGTTTAAAGACATTTAGAAAATATTATGTCAAAATGTTTATAAAGTTCGCATAGAATCGATGTTTCAAAAGAATGATTTAATGTTTCTTGCTTACTGTATGTGATATCTGATGAGTGAAAAAATAACTGATGAAAAATTGAAGTACTATATAGGTGACACTCACATTTTTCATGCACTGTCCAAAATTTTTAGTTGTTATTACTTTCTGATACAATTGCCTTCCAATGTTTGTAACACGAGACATAATAGATTTCAATGTTCACAATTAAAGGTACGTTTAACAAGATAACATATTCACTGGAAACATTCGTTCTTCTAACTGTTTGCTATTCTAATGCAATGCTTTTTTACCTTGAGTAATATAAATAAGTATCAGTAAAAGTAAGTCACATTACGTCTACCTAAGATAAAAATGTTAGTTGCGTACTTAAAACATCGATAAATATGCTATTATATTCGACTAATTCACTCATTTTCGTTATTGCAACAGAGGTTTTAAATATTTTACTATGTACTGATAGTATTATGACTGACAGTTTTACAAAAGTCGTTTTCAAAGGTGTAATACAATAAACACTGGCTGTTGTTCAGCAGGACCCAATAATTTTGCAACCGTTTTTTCCGATTGTCTGCCAGATGGTTCTAAACGCACTCAAGGGAAAATATATGTTCTTATTACATAAATTTATATAATTTTCTCATCAATACGCACGAAATTTTTGTTGTCTCAACAAAAGATGTGTTATTGCAATTTGTAATATGTAGGTAATTTATAGAAAAATGTTATTTGTTATTTTTAACACAATATTTCTTCCTTAAACTTGTAAATAAATATTTTCTAAAATCTGAGATATATCATATTGTATGATATCTAAAAATATAAATTTAATATTTTCGATGTTTTCATCTCGTTTTTACGGTAAAGTTACTGTTGTGAAATTTTACTATGATAATACGTACTAATCACTTTGTTTATGCGAATGATAATACGTACTATGATAATACGTACTAATCACTTTGTTTATGTGAATGTTCTGTATTGTTGATAGATAGCTTTCATGCAAAAAGAGAAGATATAAACATTACAATTAAGCTTTGAGTACTATTAATAGAATATATGAATAAGCATTTGGAATAACATTAATATTAAAAGGAAAGTTAACATCTTCGTTTACCTTGAAAGATTCCATATATTTGTGGAATGAAATGAGTGCAATTTTAAACTCTGATAATAGTTGAAACGGTTGAAAAAAAATTGAAAAAATTGGAGCAAGGTGAGTTAAATTTCAATATTAATAAAATAAAATTATATACTTAATAACTCTTATTTAAGGAAAGTGTAAGAAATAGTTTTCCTAAATTTCAGAATGGTATATCTACGCGTGCTTGTGCTCAGCCGGTGACTAGCACTGGAGTGACAATGTTTGTCGCTAGATGGAGGTCTAGCAAATCCCTTTTTTTTTATTCTCTCCCCTTTAGTCTACTGCTTGGTCGCATGCACACGGGTTCATGTTTAACCCACCCCCCTTTTCTGATTCTTATAATTGTATACGCGCAGTGCCAACAAATAAAAGTACGTTTTTGTTCATGTAACTCGAGTGTGGTACATCTTCAACTCGCCGAATCCCAACACTAAAGAACTTTCTATTTGGGAAAATAAGCATAATCTTTTATTGTTTTACTCCATATAATTCCTAGTAATTCTGATAGCATATCAACGTCCCAAAGTAACACAGTTTAACTATATGTTATTTTATGTACGTTTGTTACATGCAAAAATATTTGTGGATGAAGAATAAATGAGGTAAGTTCTTCTCGATTTCCGAAGGATAGTGAAAGGTATGTTAAGGTTGCGTAAAAAGTTATCACATGCACATAATAATATTAATATTTATAGACCTTAAGAGCTTGTAAATAAGCAATTCTAATTATTGTGATATTCAATAAATTCTTTGCATGTGATATATGAAACACTCAAGTCCTTTAATAATGAATAATAAATAGTACTACGTCTCATTAAGTTTCTTGGTGTCGTTTAAATTCAGCGCCCCTACACATACAACGTGGCTGACAGTCACGTAATCGATGACCGTTGACATTAATGAAACCGACAGCTGTCGCAACTGTATGCAGTTAATTATGTGCGGGAAGTCTTGTTGCTCAGAGAGCTACAGTGCGGTAATACGTATTTTCCTCTCTTTCTGAGTGTATTGTGAACGTAATGCGCATCCGTTGGATTGATCGCTCCGCCAATAGAGAAATAGAATATATTTTAGCACACGTGAGATAATAGGTGTGTTTTCGCTGAACTGGTGCAATAAGTTGAACCGAGACAAGTATATGTTTTCTCACTTCAACTTATTACAGTAGTTCAGCGGTGCAGCGAAAACGAACAGACCTCTAATGGCTGTTGAAACGATAACGGTGGCAGGTTATATTTACCGAATGATACAACCATGAGCACCCGGAGATGTTATTTATGTGAGAGAAAGGCTAACGCTACTGAAAATATCAGTTTACATAGGTAAAGAATCAGTTGTACGAACGATTAATATCTACTGACTTGTGACTTATGACTTGTTGCTCTCCGAATTTCTTCGAGTGGAATTTCAATCTTCATAGAAAATAAAATTCGGTCGGTTATTTTCAGATTTCCAAGGGAACAACAGCTTCGCTCAAAATGGTTGAATGCCTGTAACTTGTCCGAAACTGATGATGTCTCGAAGGTGTACATTTGTTCATGCCACTTCAAGGATGAAAACTACAGACAAAAAATAGCACTGGGAAAGTATGTTGGAAACTGGCTACTTCCAGGAGCAGTGCCTTCGGTGATAAATGCCCGAAAAATGGTGCACATCAACGATAAAGTTGTCCAATGTCTGGACATATTCATCGAGGATTCGGAGGATATATCGCCTGAAAGAGAGACGATCAGTGATGATATGAACAACGAGCCTGCTACAATTGTAAATGTAAAAACGAAGTGTCATCAACCATCTACATTGTTGAAGGAAACCACAGAGCCAAAGAATAATGAGAATAAATTATATGTATCACCAGGAGAAAATAAGAACGACGATGAAATTCCTGATGATGATGCTGGAGGTATTTGCAACAGTTGTAATATTAATAAAATTACGATTACCGTAAATTAAAATTTGAAATTTCTAAAATTGTACACAAACATCGATGTTTGTTTTTCTTTGTTGCAGATTAAGGAAATTGAAAAAAAAAATTCACGTCTACATAATGTATAAATATGCTCATTTTAATTTCAGGTCTAGAAGAAGAATGTGTATGCACCCCAAAAAAACGTAGAGTTGCAGAACCACGCTTTGTTTCGGAAATTTGTGTTTCTGACGTCGCAACTCCCAAGAAAGCTAAACGGGTAATTGCACTTGTGAAGCAGAACGATGCCAAACAACGGAAGAAAATTAATGCACTCCATCGCCAAAAGCGGGACTTGCTGAAGCGTATCACTTATCTACGAAGCATGGTGAAGCATTTACAACAACGAGGATTAATGTCTGAAAGTGCTGGAGAATGTGTGAAGGTAAAATATTAGGTAGAGTGAATGAGAGCTGGTCACCTTTAATTACATTAGAATAAGTCACTGGGGATTTATCAATAATGTGCGTTTATTTAAATATCATTAACCCGTTGCGGTCTTATGTCGAGCGTCATTCGACACCGCGTTTCGTTCCAACGCGTCCGATGTTGACAGAGTCTTCATCGTACACTAAAAGAGATAAGATAAAAGCTGCGGTGTAGCATATCCCGAATACGCCATGCCTCTTGAAAGCAAGAGCTTAGTTTTAGTAGTTTCAAACCCACCGTGGCGTACAGTTGGAATTTGTAGTGTAGTTAAAAAGTATTTTCAAAGTCGAAATTGCCATAAGAGAATTTTTTTTTCGAAAGATTATGGCTAGACAGAAAAGACGACGTAGAACGGTGCGTGACAATGAATTTGAAAGTAGTGACAGTGACTGTCACAAAGTCAACAAGAAGAAGATTTCCCACAAACAATTTAAAGAAGAACTTTTGCTTGGACTTGTTGGGGACTTGCGTGTCACAACAAAAACAGGACGACCATCATCCAACGACAAGGAACAGCGATTGGATGGAACCTTACATATAATTACACTGCATCCGCAGCGTAAACACAAAGATTGCACAGTATGTTCAAACCGAAATATTCCTGGTGGCAGAAAAGAGACTACATATATATGCGAAACCTGCGACAGAAAACCGGGATTGCATGTCGGAGAATGTTTTAAACGCTATCATACCATGGTAAATTATAAGCTGTGAACAATAAAAAATAATGTTTACAAAATCTTAAACTTTTATTTTATACATTCACTTATTCATAAGTACGTTGCGTTAGTAAGCTCATAAATGTTTTCCAAAGTAAACGGTACCAAGCGGATGAGCGATTGGCGAAATCTGTGCGGACCGGCTGGGACGAAATTGCGAATACAGCGCGGACCGCAACGGGTTAAAGATGCCAACCTAAATGAAGTAACTGTTAAGGAGTTTCTTTCGTCGCTTCACACAGCCGAATGAGGACAAAGACAAGAAATTATACAACAGTACTTAGCCATGAACAATTACGGCCGCGCTACGGGCCATTAGGTAAGCAAGAAACATTAAATCAATCTGTTGAAATATTGATTTTATGTAGATTTTATCAACATTTTGACATAATATTTTATAAATGTTCTCAAACTGATCATATAATATTCCTATGTATCCCCTGGGGCAGCTTGACCAATTCACCAGCTGCCTGGGCGCGTCGCAGGTCCACGGCTACGACGACGAGCTGACGCGCGACCTGCGCTCCAGGAACACGCTGGAAAGCTCGATCAACTGCTTCGTGGCCGGCGACATCCGTGCGGACAAGCAGGTCGGCCTGTTGGCCATGCACACTTTATCCGTGCAATATGAACGTCCAAGTCGAACGGTATTCTGGAGGATCAGTTTCCGGGGGCGGAGGGGGCTCATTGTTCCGATGCCTGCTACTGGAGCAGTTCCAGCGCCATCCGAGACGGGTCCTGGTACGAAAACTCTAGCGTGTTCCGAGCCGAGCAGTTCGCGCTAATCCAGCAGGCCTCGCTCGCGCGCAACCTGACGTGTTGCCGACGGGCAGTAATGCCTACGTCGGCTGCGACGAGATTCCTCGTGTGGACTTGAGCATGCGACAACTGCCAGGGCAGCGGCACCGCCATCCTCCGAGTGTGCAGAGCGGCCGAGAAGTAGCTGGTTCCCGCGAACGGCGTGAGAAACATGATGGATTCGTTGGCTTCTCGCGACGAGAAAATGGAGCAGGATGTTCGAGGAAAGCGATCGGGAAACTAAGAGGCTGAGAGGGTAACTCGAAGACTTGGTGCGCACGGTGGACGATTACTAGAAGACGTTAAAATACGACGATAGAGGAGCGAATTACGTGCCGTGTTTGAATTGTCCCGCCGGCCGCCCTCGCTCGCTTTCTTGTCCTCCCTGCAATACCTTATGTTCCTTTCGTGCGTTTATAAATAGCAACTCCCGCAAGAATAATGTGAAGCAGCTAAACGTTTCATTTTCCCTAGAAATAGCTCAGTTGTTACCAAGTTGCAACCGCTCACAACTCGACATGCGGAATCATGCGTGTTGCAGCGAAGCTTACGCAAGTTCTTATTATTAATTTCTACGGCGAGTCTGTAGTAAAGATACACGTTAAAATACATAAATATTTTATATCATTTTCTTTACGTGTACATAATTAATATATTTAATTTATGTATAATACATATGAAATAAATTGTTATTTCATTAAATGAAATATTTGGTATGTTGGCCAAGCGCAACGATATCCTTACCCTCGTTTTTCGTGAGTTCCACCGTAAGGAAAGCTAATTTTTTGCCGACACGTTTAGTCGAAGCGTCAATAGTCACTACTTCACCAATAGATGCTGTCTTCATGAACCTGTGCCATTAATCGTTTTGTAAGCATTTATATTTTTTATTAATAAAGATGATTAAGGCTCCAGAGCAGTCGTTGTGACTGTTCTTGTTCAATGACGTTTGGTGCGAGAAAACGCATATCAACATTTTTTGCGTTATATATATATATATATATAAAGAACGCGAGCGTGGCGTGGACAACGCACCGGCTCGCCGTGCTTTAGAGTTCCCGGCAGAACCAGTAAATTTTTATTCGCTCGTAACTCCTCTTCGGTGGCCTTGGCAAACCACCAAGAGTATTATTCACGCCATAAAGAAACTTCTCTCCAATTGCCATTCAGCGTTTAAACTGTAGGTCTCATATGCATGTGTATAATCTACGTGCGCACCACATACATACGTAAGAGAGAGGTAGGCCTCTAAGAGGCTGTAGCGCCAATGGAAGAAAAAGATATATATGAATTATAGTTTTTACGTACTTTCAAATAAAAAGATGTATCCACAAAATGACATTTGTGATCGATTCAGCAAACTTATAAAATCGGACGCACTTTTCTTTCACTGGAACAATCAGCAAGTAATTGCAAAATTAACATTGACGAAATCGTGAGAAAAGAAGTTGGAGAAAAGAAGGTTCCGTATCAAATTAATCAAGTTTACTGAATCGATCATAAATGTCATTTTGTGGATATATCATTTTATTTGAAAGTATAACGCAAAAAATCCTGACATGCGTTTTCACGTTTCTGACGTCATTAAACAAGGACACTCATAGCGGCTACTCGGGAGGGAGCCTTAAATTACGATATTATGTCATGCCTAATTTTCAGTTTCTCATCAATGTACATATATAATAATCGCACGTTGTATATATGTACTTATTCGTAGGAAACAAAAATATTCCATTTGTCAAGAAAGATTATGTGAAAAAATAATATCAATGAAGCAGCATAGATATTTTAACGGTACATAATTGACTCGAATAAAGGAAGCTAATAGAGAAAATCAAGTGAGATCCTTACGTGACGTGTAAGTCTACTGAAACTCCAAGAGCACCAGTACCCACGGATGCTAATGCGTAGCCAGACACACAGTCTATGACTGTACTGGTAAAACCACCATGTAAAGTACCCATCACATTTACATGCTCATCGCTTACTGTAAATTGTGCCTTGCAGTTCCCATCGCCAGCCGAGAGCAGTTGCACCTATTTAAAAAGTTATTATTACTTATAAATGTGTCTCCTGATGGAAATATCTTGCTGAAATACTCTCTCAATTCACCCAATTTCGTCAATATACGCAATTTTCAGTTAAATTCATTAAATTTCACGATATCTAATATTTCAAAAATTTTTTTATTACTTTTCAGAATTATACTTTAATTTCCATCATATTCACATTACATCGAATTTCATAATGAAAATTATAATTTTTTTTTTAATATTTATTATTATATATTTCAGTAGTTTTTCAGACATTTTCATCTCGCTGTTTGTTGAATTTATAGTATTCGAATATAAGGAAAGTTGAAGTATATTTTTTTAATTTACTGAATGTAACTAAAAATTGCATACATTGACAGAATAATAACGAAATAGAGTTAGTTGAGAATTTCGGTAAAATGTTCAGCATAATATTTCTATCAAGGCAACACAATATTTCTACAATCGAATATAGTATATATTATTCTTGTATATGTACTATACATTATTGTTGTAAACGGTTAAAAACTTTTTTTAAAGGAATATATAATGCAATTGTGGAATATTCTATTCTGTCTTACTAACAGAAGTTCTTTAGCTATTTTAAAACATAACTTTTCAGCAATAATGTTATCGAGGACTAGAAATATAAAACAATTTGAAATAGAAGCACGAGAAAATATTTTCTTTCACCGTAAGTTTTCATTAAATTTATTTTCAATGGTACTAAAAGGAATAAAAACAAGAACTACACAATAAAATACATAAGCAAACTAATGATGATCTTGAGAATGTTGACTAAACAACCAAAAAGAATATGTAAAAAGAATACAATCAATATTTGTATAAAAATTACTTGCCCAATTGCATAAAAAAATATTTTACAATAACAAAAACAAATTATATCATCAAACAATAAAAATACCTAGTGAGCAGAAATCTTAAAAGTATATTAAAATTGTCTTATACATCCATTTTGGACATTCTGTTCACTAGGTATCTACATTAGAATTATATAACACTGAACTATCTTACATTAGATGATAGAGATATATATTAGGTTGGTGCATATGAAATGTCGGATTCTTAAGTGATTGTATAAAACTGTATATCTTTCTTCAAAAGCTGTTTATTCAATCAAAGTATGCTCCATTCGCTTCAATACACTTCTCCCAACGAGATTTTAAAGCGTAGATGCCTGTCTTAAAAAAATTTTGGTCTTTAGAATTAATAAACTCTGATATCGAGTTTTTTAGACTGTCTTCATTTTCATGGTGTTTGCCTCTTAAAAACAGCTCTAAATGCTTGAAAAAATGAAAATCGGTCGGCGAGAGATCCGG